ACCTTACGCGATGCAATTTACATACGACTAATGTACACTCATCGCGGTAGATGCAACTTTCAGAGGTCAGGATTACACAAGGTCAGGATTAATCTTTAGCTATGCTGAGGAATAGCGAAATACGCTAACTGCTGCTTAATTATTTAGCATGTATATACGATATGATATTCATTATGTGAATTACAGATCTAGTATAATGAATTATAAATGTGAGTATATATCGTATATCATGCCAAAGGATTACTCAGAAGACTTGTGCGGTCTCCAATTTTTATAATTTGGCAATTTGCTTATAATATATTAGCAGAAAAAATTACTTAACTAAAATTCAAAGTATCTTGAAAAACTTCATGTTATTTAGTAAGATTACTTTAAATATTTAAAGTTTAAATGTTTATTTAAATGTTTAAAGCAATTTTATTATATTAAATTCCTTATATTAAATTCTTGCACAATGTGTAATATTCGATTTCGATTGCCAAAACCAAACGTTGGGCGCTTGAAATGCACAAATTATTTTGCCAGTATTTGTTTGCAACTGCGAACAACGGGAAGCAATTTAATTTCTTTCGAATGAACCTCGTGGAAAATTTGATGTTTTGTGATGTTTCTTTGTTTATACTCGTAAAAGTATTATATACACAGATTGTTGTAGCGATATGAATTTACTATTTTATAAAACAAAATCCCTTTATCATTACAATTTTTTATGTTTACTTTATAGTTAGATTTTGATCAGAAAAAGAACTTTAATTAGTTTTATCAAGAACAATAGTAAACAACAATTAGGCCGACTTTTCTTTCCTGTAATTTTCACCGGGCAGGCATCGAAGCAGAAATTCGTAACACCCGAAATTCCAAGGAGTACACATCGCGCGAGGAAGTTTCAGCTTGATAGGCTCACTGCACACCTGACGAACAGCTGTGTAGTCGTCATAATTTCGTTACGGATCATGATCACGTATAATTCACCCTTCTTGAACGCTTTTTATAACGTATTATCCTTGCCGTCGTGCTGTGTGTATGTGTATATGTGCGTGCGCGCACGCGTAATGAAATATTTTATAATATCAGTGAATATCGCATGCAAGTGGAGTTTAGTGCAGCATCAATTATTATTTTAGTCATAATTACAGCAGCAATTGGAGCGAATATTACCGCTGTTTTTATCAAAATTGAAATTTTATAGGAATTTGCACTTCTAACGCGCTGGAACGTTACATTTATCCATATAATTATCATTTACCACTAATTATCTGCCTTTAAACGAAATGCGCTTTGTGCATATTTTCTTTCATTGAACTTGCTTCTTTTAAGAAATTTAAACTGAAGTTATGATTAAAATAATGTTGCGTGTTATAAGAATAAGTATGCGATGGATGGAAACATATACCCGTTAGGAAAAAACATTTGCGTTAAATTAAAAATTTAGCATTAATATAATACCGTTAAGTGCAACAATGCATTGTATATAAGTATATATATTCGAAAATATATACGGAAAATATATGCACTACTTTTTAACTATATTATATAGGATTCTTCGGTCAATTTTTGGGATCAGTTTTTCCTTAGCGAAAATTTTTAACGATTACCGCTTTTATATCAAAATATACAAGTGTGAGGACAATAATCTAAGATTCCTGTGACAATGAGAAAAATAGATCGTTGAAATCCGAAGCCCGGAAAAGGTTTCATTTACTTAGAAAGTATTCAAAATTAGAAGCGATTATATACAGGAACTGTCCAATAAATGCATGCGTTTCGCATCCACCCTTTTCAATCAGAATCTATTTCTGTTTGATTACAATCACAGTTGCTCACCTATAATTCGCGCTGCCAGCGCTATTATTTTAAAGCGATCTACGACAGCATGAAACGCGTTGCTGCCGGTTGATCAAACTCATAAAGCCGTACGCGCGCCGTCGATGTGTTATAATATACGATCGTTATCGTGTTTCTATTGATGTTTCCCTCGCGGAATGTATTCAGTCATTACGTGCGGGGTCAAGGCCGACTTGTTAGACACGCTTTGCAATTAGCTCGCAGTTTCACAGCACACACGCGACATCGGTACACACCCGCTTGTCACGAGATACGCATACACATGCACTTGATAACGAGAAACGTAATTCGTCGACAATAAGCGCGGAAGATCGAGATTGAATTAAAACAAATTTCTGTTTCTACCGCGTAAATGAATCTGGTTGTGCTGCTGTGTAATTCACTAATTGAATTCGACAGCGCGTGCACATTCGCGGAAAGCGCATATTCGACTTCGCTGCATCAGGTATTGTTGTTTATGTAATTTATTCATGTATTATAATGCGCATCGCGCCATATAACGTATTACATTTGTTATATATTTACTGACACGTGCTACATCGCATCGCTTTGTCACATACACGAGCATCGGCGTGCGCTTTTGCTACAGAAAATATGAATGTAACAAACAATTAAATTTGCGCTGAATTTTGTATTAAAGGATATTTATAATTTCGTTTCGTTGAAATTCCTGCATTTTAATTTCCCATTTCAACTCTTAAAGTGTCCGATGAAAATGACCACGCTTATAATTTTATTAGAAAAGTATCTTGTAGATTTTCTTTTAATAAAACATATTTATCTAAGTTTCATAGTATTAGAATTTCTTAGAGAAAGAGAGAGAGGATTTTATTCCAGAAGCTTTCTTGTAAAAAAACTTTCGTTAAAGTGAATGTGCTGTATATGCAGTAGAAAAATATAGTTTCAGAAAGTCATAAGCTATTGTTCTTTCAATTATGATTTTTTTATTAATTTTAAGTCAATTTATTGAAAGAGAATTTGATTAACCTTCTCACAGTTTTTTAATATTTGATATTAAATATAATTAATAATTTTTGTAATCAAATAAAATATTTTACTAACAATAAGATAAAAATCATTAAAAATAAAATCAACAGAACATATATATTTATTTATTTGCGCATATAATAGTCAATTCTTATAATTAGTGAATCTAATCACTTACAACTTTTTTAAATTCTAATTGATTCGAAATTTTTACAAAACTGCCATTTGTTTAATCTCGTAAAATAAATCCTTTTCGAGAATGATTTCTCAAATCGAGGATATGTCAACAAGTCCGAGCGAGTCTCTTCATTTTTGAGGTGTGCTCTTAAAATCGCGCGTTGCATCTTATTATGCGCTGACTGCAAACAACTCCGCTCGGCTCTGCGCACGCAACGTGTCGCGTGCTCACGCCTGCACACGCGAGCACGCGTACACATATGGACTGCCTCCGTGGGCGGAGGAATGAACTTTCTCGCCCATAACTTATGCAAATTAGCCGGCCATTGTGTACGGTTGCTTAATGCATTTACGAATATCAATACTTTGTAGAGGGCCTTGTTCGGAACGTTATCTCCTAATAGGCGCCTCTCCACGCTCCACAATTTCCTTTACGAGGCGCCAAACCGAGAATGTGCCTCGCATTACGTATGTCACGCTACTTAGCCGCATATATATTTCGTTTCCATTAAACGTTAGCGTAAGAAATGAGCAGAAACATTTTTTACCGTACCTACTAATTCGAAGAAGAATTTTAACTTACTTGAGAAAGGAAAAAAGAAGATTGAAATATCAATCGTAATATCTCTCGAAATTAATTCTGAGAAAACTTTTTGTGTTACTTCGTAAATTTTAGACTTTATAATACACGTCAGATTTCAAGATAGAATTCTACTTATATAATTACTTATATAATTTTAAAGATCGTAAATTTTTATTGCGAGTACTTTAATGTATATTTTAGCTATGTGTATTCTGCTTCTTCAAATGTACTACAAATAAAAATAAAATTCTATCCTAAATTCTGACGCAAATTATAGATCGTTTAAATTGTTTTACATGCCGTATATCTTGATGTATGTGTATACATTTTAACATATATTTTATACGTTGTATCCTATAATTCTCTAAATGTTCTTCGTGTTACACGATGCATGAAATTGTAAATAGAATTCTCTCCTGAATTCCCATACAAGTTATAGATCGTTTAAAGTCAGCTTGATATAAAAATTGATATAGAGAGTCTATTTTCAAGAAAGACGACCTCCTCTGTACGTTTATGAATTTCATATTAGAGAAGCAACTCGGTAGATATAATACTCGGAAAGATCGGAAAAGTTCCAACTCCAACTCTAACTTTATAGTTCCCGTTTAAATATCCGCATGAAAGGTGCGTGGGTTGCACGTGCAGCGGGATCGCCGTGGCGCCTCGAGACACTCGGAGTCTCCAGGTCCAGACGAAGCGCGCGAAGTCGAGGCCGTTAGGTTGAATTTGTTGCGTGGGCCGCGCGCAACAATCGAGCTCGACGGGAGAGAAGAGCTTGGGTATCGCAGGTTTCCTGTGAAATCAATGCGTCTTGTGCGTACCGCCGGACACGCGTCCGGACTTGCTTCACGAGAGCCGGAGCTCCACGGAGGTTCCGTGGTGTAGCGGTTATCACGTCTGCTTTACACGCAGAAGGTCGCCAATTCGATCCCGGCCGGAACCATACTTTTTTCTTGTCGCACGCTCGTGGACACGCGAGAACGATCGTAGGACGTAATCGTGTCTGATAATTAAATGAGAACCGAGGCTGATTACCTTCGATTTGCAAACGTACGAGAAAAGGGGAGAATTAGCGTATTTAAGAGAACTATATACGCGAATTACAAAACTCGTACTTTCTTCAGCTAACTTTTTTGGATTTGAAGTCAACTTTAACTCGAACTTCAATTTGAAGTTAACAACAAGTTAAATATACAATATATAACGGTGGATTAAGAAGCTGCGATAAACGACGACTCTCGAAAGGAGGCTCGACTCCGGATCGAGCTAAGAGATTTCATCGTTAAAAAAAAATAGTGCGCAGGACATTCTGTACGGATGGGCCGTCTTATCGCGCGAGTCATAAACCTCGTAATCCCGTTTCACGCGCGAGATCTCTGATCGTAACTCCATATTCTTCTTGCAGATGTCAACGTGACTGGCCGTTTGCGAAGAAGAGCTGCGATGCCGTAGTCGTCCGCTATGAGCGAGAGCCGGTGCTACACGGATTCGCCCGTGCTCGCCGAACATCAGCCCTTCAACCGTAATGGGAAGGCGCTCAGGTACGCGATTACCATAAGTGCATACCACGCCGGCCGTGCACGCTACGCCGACCTGCGGAGCTTTAATCGCCTGCGACATGGGACGGGCGTTGATCGCGCTTTGATTTATCGCTCGTAATTGAAGAGTGTAATTCGAAAACGACCGCCGGTCGCGTTCCTATCAACTGCGTTTTTCACTGCAGCTATATACGACCGATAGTTCAGGCCTCGTGATCGCGGGAAGTGAGTTCCCGAGCGAATTGAAAAATTCCGTCGCGGAAAATGTTGCCGAATGTATTGCACATGTGTGTATCGTATACACGCTAGCTCGCGCTCTTTATTCAAATTAAGAAGATTACTCGAGCCATATAATGTGGTACTATAGGATTATTATTACTAAGAGTTATGCGTATTCATATACACTTATCCCTTATGAAGTAACCCTTTTCGTTTTAAATAACATTTCATGCAGTAACGTGTATATGGCAATAACAAATTCTCAAGCGCTTCCGCTACAGTTATTATATCGAAACCTCTTCTAAATCACCGTTACCGCGGTATTGTCGGTAGCGATAGCGTGAGAGGATGTCCGATCGGATTATCGATCGAATTATGGTCCACGGTCTAATCAGATTATACCGCGGAATTCCAGCTCGCGTCCCTGTCTCGTAAAGTGGGCTTAGAGCAGAGAGAGAGTGAGAGATTGAAAGAG